ATTTCTTTCATAGTGTGTTTTAATTCATCTTTTTGTGTTTCATTATCATACACTAGTGATTTAATTCACCTTTTTCAATGACCATGTAGTTTGATAGATTTTGTTCAAACGAATTTGACTAAATCTTTGAAATTAAGACATCAATCAAAATCAAGATCTTCTTATATTATGATTTCGAGTTTCAATGGTCAAGCTAATACATGTGCTTCGAGTTTGTCTTATTTTTCGAAAAAACGCAGAGCATTTTGATGAGTAATGCACGACTTGTTTAGATATAATAGATTGTGAATTACAGATGATTATGTGTGGATGGTAACGTTTGAGCGTAATGGATAGTGGATACGAATGAATGGTTGGTATGTAGTATTAAACTAATTTTTTCGTGTCGTATGTATCCACATCATCCATGCAAATACCAACTATGTTTTATGTTCAGTATTCTCAAAACTAAATTAACATGTTTCTGTTTCAGATAAAGTCTAGTATCTCCATTTTAGGATAAACGGTGGACAAGAAAGGGTTTAAGCGAGTTCCATTTTTCCAAAGATCGAGTTGAATGTTAAAAAAAACTAAGAAAATAATGTAAGAATGTAGCAAAAATTATGTCATATATAGTTCTAATTCTAAGGGAATATTACATGTATATGCACTTTATATGAAAGTGTTTACAGCAAAATTTTTTCTATCGTGGTCATGGTTTTATGGTCACACAAACAAACTATCCAGAAGCGTGTTCAAACGGTCATGGTTTTATGGTTATACAATCCCATTTATTACTTTTTGCTTCATTTGTTTATCTATCGTAACTCAAGAGCCTTTTTTACGATAGACATTTGATCAACTTCTAATATCAATTCTTATCCATGAGACTTATGTCCATCGAACCGTATCCACGAAGTCATGCCTGGACGAACTAATGTACATCAAACCGTATCCACGGAATCATGTCCACAAGACCGTATCCACGCCATCATGGCCGTAAGAACTTATGTCCATCAATCCATTCCATGAGAAAGTTCCAAACGAAATGCTTCAGATCTGACCATGCTCAAACGGTTCTTCGATCGAGCTTCATCAGCTGGAGATCCTCCATTCAAGATCTTCGAGCCAATTCTTCTCCTCGGAAAACACCAATCCAAATGCCAAAAACCATATGCTTCCTCTACATCACTCTCACCTTCATCAACCTCAGAAACTTCAAAGCCATAATCTTTTGAATCCAAGTAGGCAAAAGCACCTAAAACAAACACAATTTATCTATAGCTATCAACACGAACACACTTCCAAACTTAATTAACAAATTTCATGTGAGAGAGCAAGATTAACACCATAGAAAACATGAACATAATAGAATAAGATAATTTTTTTCTCAAGAGAAAAACCAAAACACGTTTTTCATGGCAGGGATCCAGCCAAAAAACCAATTGCAAATAAACAAAACTTTTTTTTTGAATAATCATAAGAGATTGTGTTGATCCTATTTTGCATATGACCAGAGATGATGATGAGAGAAAATCGAAGTACACAAGCCTGGATTTTGCAACTAATATAGATTCACGAGGTGGTGGATGGATGAGAGATCGAAAGCTTCGTTTCCGGTCACGATGGTGCAAGGTTGAGGAATGAGAAATTCAGTATCTATCATGCGCCACCGATGTTGAGGATATACACTTATCTTCCTCGGCGATATCAATCTTCATACTGCAAATATCATCCTCTTCAAAACCCCCAATAACAGGAAGACGACATTCGACCAAAACTCCTTCGTACCTGACATGTCGGATTCGAGTCTGAGATGTTGAGAAGTCGGAGACATTGAAGAATCAATAAAATCGAGGGTTTTCCCAGATCTGTAAAAAGTAGATTTGAAAGAGGAGAAGAATTTTTTTAGTTCCAAATCCCTAATTTATCTAACCAAATACTGTGATAACTAAACCAGAAAAAGTAACTAGTTAAATTATCAAAGGGACATAATTGATAATTCACAACCCCAAAGTCACATTCTCTTGCAAAGTATCTTAAACTGCAACTACTTTATACTAAAGTGCCTTATTATGTAAACGTCCATTTGTTGTAGTGTAATAAAATTGGTAAAAAAGATTATAGTGTTAAAACCAAAACAAAATTGAGAAAATCACTTTCATATAATGTTAAGAGAAATTTTGCAAAATGCCACTTTTCAAAAATGTGATAAGGCAGAAAAGAAGAACCCAGTACACCATATGTTTGAATTTATATCCATTATATCATATGTGCAATAAGAACGGAAATAAATCTTTTTGGTAATGAATTTGGTTTTGCCCTTTTGATACAGTCCCTCAAAAGTCTTTACCATCAGAAAAACAAGTGACTGAAAAGATACAGAAGAAGAACCCTTCAAAGTTCTACAAAGACAATGAAGAATTTGACAGTGTAGAGTGAAGACCATGATTATGTGTCTTCCGGACCAGAGAAAGAGTTAATTATATCATTTATTCACAATATCATTTATATTTGAGTAAATTATTCTACGTAAGGGTTGGCAAACGAGAATAGAGGACGGGATTTCACGGGAACGAAATTTTGGGACTACAAAAATATGTCCCATTTGTGTCCCATTTAAAATTCGGGACGGGAACGGAATAGAACGGGATGAGACGGGAATGGTACAGGAATGACCATAAGATAACCGGTTTCAAAACACTAACTTAAATAAAACGATGTTACAAATTGGAAATATTTATCTAACCTACTTCTTTAATTCATCAAAAGCATCTCCGAAATTACCAAAAAAGAAACTCTCAATTGTATTTCATAAATGTTTAAAATAGAAAAATCATAGTTGAATCAAGATGAATCAAACATAAAGTAAACTACATCAATGCCTCAAATCAAAACATAAATCTAATAATATAGAATTTTTAAAGTATATATTCCTATTCTACAAAAAAAAAAGTTAATTACTTTTGTAAT